AATGAAATACTACACAACCCTAAAGAATAACATAGAATCTGCCAAACACCACATAATGTGGATGAACTTGGAGGACATTGTGCCGAGTAAATAAGTCAATTATATAAGGACAAATATTGTATTAATCCATTATTGTAAAAAGTCAAGGAAAGGTTTATATACAGAAGGAAATTTTCCTTGTTAGTTACCAGGGGTGGGAGGGTAAGGTAGGGAAAACTGTTAGATAGGTAGAGACAGGTATTGATTTGGGTGAAGAGAAGGGCAATGTACCAAAATGAGTGATCAACATGGTGGCATTGAGGAAGAGGAAGAGGAAGACATAGAAAGGTACATGGGAGGTACAGACAACAAAGATGGACCCTTTTGCACATACAGTACTATGTTGTCAGTGAAGGTGAACACAGGTATATGGGTAGATAGACGGGTGGACAGGCTAAACTATTAGGCATGTCTATGCAGGAGGGAGTATACCCAAGACCATGTATAGGGCTGGCAGATAATGGTTCTACAAGTGTATTTGTATGTTCTATAAGAATTCCCAAGTGTATAGCAGAGTTGACAAGGGACAAGGTTGTAGTCACTTCTTGATCACAGCCAGCTACCCAGAGAGACCAAGTAGTTGAACCTGTGGGCTCGGGACCATAGCCACAGGAGACATCAAGCTCAACTGGCATAACATACTAAACAAAACACTGTTCTACCTCCTACTTTGGCGAGTACCAACTGGGATCTCAAAAGTTTGCAAGCAGCCATCTAGATGCAACGATGGTCTCTCCTCGTCCAGAGCAAAGAAGGATGAAGAAAACCAAAGATTCATGGAAACAATTAGTCCTGGTGACTGGTATATCATGTGATCTGCAGCCTATATGACTATGAGACCAGAAGAACTAGATGGTACCCGGCTACCATTGTCAACCACTTGGAGGCGGATCTATGTACATCCTGGATAGAGAGGGAGAACAATATGCAATAAAACACAAAATCATTTGGGGGCGGGGGAAGGGGACCAGTTTTGCTGGTAGAACCACTGAGAGTATAGCCCCTAGCTACCCTTCGGGTCTGGAATTGAACCCACACCTGTGGCTTCCAGCCAAACAAAAGACAGGCATATGAGTAGAACATCTACCTGAGGTAGATACACTCTTTGGAGAGAACAATCATGGGAGAAAGAAGGGCTACTTATGCCTCACAGTTCAGGGGGCAAAAGTGCATGGAGAGATGGACACAGGGTAGAGGTAACTATTGGAGGAAGTGGGAAGGGACTTGCTGCACTGGGGTTTGTTGTTGTTGTTAGGTGCCATCGAGTTGCTTCTGACTCATAGCAACCCCATGCACGGCAGAATGAAACGCCACCCGATCCCACGCCAGCTCCATGATCCTTGCTATACTTGAACCCATCGTTGCAGCCACTGTGTCAATCCATCTCATCGAAGGCCTTCCCCTCTTTTATCAACCCTCCACCTCACCAAGCATGACATCCTTCTCCAGGGAATGGTCCCCTCTGACAACATGACCAAAGTAGGTGAGATGAAGTCTGGCCATCCTCGCTTCCAAGGAGCATCTCGGCTGCACTTCCTCCAGGACAGATCTGTTTGTTCTTTTGGCAGCCCATGGTACTTTCAGAATTCTTCGCCAGCACC